TTGGTGATAAACTTCCCGGGGGGCTACTTCGGGCTAGACGCCAACTATGGCTAGTTTCTTGGCAACGCATAACTTTTGAACTCGTCCTCCGTATTTTTATTAATAATATAGAATCTAAGCTTTTCAGATAAAAAATACCATTCGTGGTTCTCTCGACAACCATGATGCCGTGTTAATGGAGACCTTCTTGATTAGGACTGCTCCGTGACTCCTTGCACTAAATAAGTCTTTGCTCCGACGTGGCTTGCAGTCGCGGAAGCAGAATCCAAAAGCAGTCATTGAGTCTAGAAGCCGGGACAAAATACCAGATAGTGTGTCATCCTTGAAAATATACCATGGAGGATAGTTAAGGACCTGCGGGTGCGTGTGGCTTCATGTCATCACCATACCTGCGCGTTAAAAGGGGGAATATTTGAACTTACGAGAGTGAGTGATGATGAGAGACAACATTTCTAAGCAACGTTAACAGTATCCCACTCTAGCAGAAGTGGCTGGTGCTGACATCTCAACTTGATGCTTGTCACACCAACGGACGGCTGATACAGCACCCCAACATCATGTCGCGTGGCTGCGCTATCGAAAGCAGTCGTTGCCCCTTCTGTCCACTTTTGACCCTGCATGGCAAATCGTGTCTCATCACTGCTTCCGTCCGGCGCGCCTCCGTCCCTTTGCGTGCTAGTGCCTGGTTTCTGAAGAGGAGGACGGTCTTCTATATAACCCCTGCATGAGGTTTCCCCTCGATCACCCGTTCGCACTAGCATCGCCCGCCAAGAGATGGCGGCTGAGTTCTCATCGAATCTCAATGAAATACCGAGGCAGACAGCCCAGCAAAAGCAGTCCTCTTGCACAATCTTCTGCCTTTTGTAACCACCAACACACAGAACCAAATCCGTACACTTGCTCTACGTGCCCCCCCAGGAGATTGTATAGCAAGGCCGCCAAAGAATAATCCGCAACAACATGCGATGTATGTTGACTTGAGATTTTCCCCTCTTTTCAAGCCTTTCCGATCACCAACCGTCCCCCGCATTCTCTTCTTTCAGCTCACCCCACACTCTCGTCCAAGTCGAGCGTGGCAACCGAAGCCCAGTCGTGAAGGTTGCATGGTTTCGATGCCTAGTACGTCTTGGCGATACTCATATAGTTCCGTGTTGGTGTGTGTGAGTGTCTCCGCGTGACTGTCGAGGACGGAATGGACGGGAATTTCTAATGCGGACGTGGTCTTGATCCTTGTGAGAATATGAATATTAAACATCATCCAACATTCAGTCCTCGTCCGCAGTTTTTTACCTTCCTCCCGCGGCATTTCACGGGTTCTGGACGGTTCTCTGGCTGTTGGCCGATCGTTTGACCTCCCTGTGGGCAAGATTTTGAGATCTAGGCCTGTTAATGAACTATGTTTTCTCGCTTTGTTCTTTTCTATCTGACCTGGGCGGTGATGGTCACAGCGCAGAGTTCATTATCACCACCCCTGGATACTCTCCCGGGATGCGCAGTACGTTGAATAACTCCTGACACAATCTTCCCTGGGCCCATTCTTCTATAACCTTGCTGTGCATCAAAAACTGACAACATACATATAGCAATCATGTTACCACGATGCACTTGGCGGATATTTGTGCAGTTCACTCGATCCTGTATGCATGTGTGGCAGTCAAGCCTTCCTCAGCAATGTCACGACATGCGTTGAGGCCTCCTGCAGTGCCTTTGAATCGCTCAGTACGTCGCCCTGGACTATTGCAACACGCCTCTAGCAACACTGATCTGACGATTCGCATCTAGCTACGCAGAATGTCACCCTTGCCTCCTGCGGTGTTCCCTTGCGAGACCGATCCAAGAACCTCACTAGCCAGTCCGCCGCCATATTCGCCTTGACTGTCGTTTTCGTCCTCGTCCGCTTTGCCTACAAGGTCTGCGTGAAGCTCAGCTTCGGTATGGACGACTGGTTACTCCTTGTGACCTTCATCATCACGATCCCCTCGAGCGTCTTGTTTGTCGTTGGCACCCGACCCAACGGCCTAGGCAAGGACATCTGGACCCTGACCGCCACACAGATCACGGGTTTTCTCAAGTACTGGTATATCTCCGCTATACTCTATTTCCTGCAGACGACGTTGGTCAAACTCACCTTTGTCACCTTTTACATGCGCATATTTACCACACGCAACACTAGACGCATACTCTGGGGCACTATTGCTATTGTGTCGCTGTGGGGAATAGCCTTTGTCATTCTGGCCACGCAGGTCTGCACTCCTATTTCATACATGTGGACGCAGTGGGATGGCGAACACAAAGGCAAATGCGTGAACGATGCCGCATACGTTTGGACCAATGCGGCCACCAACATTGCCCTGGATGTTTGGATCCTGGCTGTGCCACTCTGGGAGCTACGCCGCCTGCAGCTACACTGGAAGAAGAAGATTGGAGTGGCTCTCATGTTTTCCCTCGGCGCCTTGTGAGTCTTTTGACACCATATCTCTTATTGTGAAGGGGCTTAGACCTAGGGCTGACGGAACGCAGTGTGACTGTGATGAGTATACTCCGTCTTAAGTCACTTGCACTGTATCAGCACAGATCAAACGTTACCTGGGAATTCTCTGAAGTATTCCTATGGTCCACCATCGAGATTAACGTCGGCATCATTTGCGCCTGCCTGCCAACCATGCGCCTCATTCTAGTCAGGATCTGGCCTACCCTCTCCGGGTCAACCACAAGGCGCAGCGATCAGTGGTATCGGACTGGTAAGGGGTCGGACCACTTGGAGGCGACCGCCGACTCCCATGCGCGAGCTTCACGACTCGGAGAACAACGAGCACGACACAATGGCAGCATCTCCCGGGTTGCCATAGTCAATGGAAGGCATGAGGAGACAAGACCGACAGAGTTGAGTCAGAGGCCGGGGATCAAGATGCACAAATCATTTTCTGTGTATTATAGTGAGGGGAGTGATATTAGTTTAGTGTCAACTCCTGGTGTGGCAGCCGGGCAAAGGCCAAAGACTGGGCTCAGCTAGTCAATTTGATCTGGCCCAGGAGGACAAGGAGAGGTTTCATTTATCACAGCGTCACCAACGATATCCCAGCGATTTCTGGCATTGCAATCTAAACCAGACCCAGGTACATGTTCGCTCTTCCCCATGGCTCAGATGTTCTATTAAGTAAATATCGCCGCCGCCGCATCCGCCCTGCACTAACTGTGCACCTCGTTGCTACCCGAGTTGAAGCTGCTTATGGACTCTCCTCCCTTGTGATCTATCCTGTCCTGGGACGCCCCTCCCTCGACGCCACTGCTGCAGGTCGCGTTCCCGGAGAATGGCGCCCGCGGGTCGATAAGAGTCTCCGTGTCGCTGTGGTTGTAGCCCGTGGTGCCGCCCCTGCCGTCGACCTTTCGACCGTTGGCATCCATTGTATTCATCTCAACTGTGGTGGTAACAGTAGCCCAGGCGCGGTTCTTGCTTTCGCCATCGCGGTTGCCGCTGAGCACGGTGCCGGCGCCCTTGGACGTGACGCCACCACGCGAACTCGAGTGTGCGTGGAAGTCGGCCTGCTGGCCACCATCCATCTGGCTGGGGTCGCGGTTCTTGGCAATCTTCGCAATCAGCTCGGCCATGGAGAGTTCGATCTTCAACTTGACAATGTATGCAAGAGGGTGGAACTGCATGTATCTGCAAGCAAGAGGTCAGTGGAAGCCTCCCTTGGCTCTTGACAGAGTCGACCTACACAAAAGTGTTCTTTAGGCTCATCATGGCAATAATCAACACGTCCATGCCGAGGGAGAAGGTGATGATGAACATGTTGAAGCGCACGACGCCTCGGTACTTGGTCAAGCCGTGCTGTACCAAGTTCTGCTGGACAATGCGGATAAAGTAGATGTTGAGGGCGGCGTCGACAACGAGATAGATTCCCTTCTCGCAGCGGTCCCACCACTCGTTCGTGTGGATGTACGATTCGCTGATCTGGAGGCGCGCGGGGATCCAGATGCAGTAGACGGAAATATTGATGCTTGTGATGAGGGCCGCGACGCCGTACTTGAGACGCCACGACCAGCGGCGGTCGGTGATGAGGATGGCGCAGCGGTTGATGATGATCTGCAGGAGGAACTGTACCTGGAGCGCCCAAAGGGTGACTTGCGCGGTTAGCTCAGAGACCAGTAGTCAGCTTCACGCAACGTCAGCACTCACGGATGCAAAAGTAGAAGGCGAAGCTCGGCGAGATAGTACCCAGCAGGTACATGAAGCAAATGATGCCAAAGCCCAAGCACACGGCGATCTCGCCCCAAATCATCCAGAAGTAGGGGTTTTTCAGGATCCTCCAGCCATGACGTTTGTAGATACCCATTGTCTGCTTGCATGCGGCCCAGGCCGTTAGCCAGCCGATGCCCAGGGTGAACCCCCAAGCCAGCGAGGCTAGGATGATATCATCCCGAGTAACTTCCTCGAGCACGTAATTGTTAGGCTGTAGAGTCAGCATTATAAAGACGGACGCGCATGCGCAAATCAACAAAGGTGCAGCCAGCAAGGCAACGGACGGTCGGGGACGGCGAAGGAGTTGCTGCGGGACATGTATATAGTCGACACACTTGCATGGACGTGAAGAAGAGGGTAAGGCTCAGGGGCCAACGAAACCGACACGCTCCGCAGTCGGCTTTTCACCCGTCCAGTGGCAAAAGAATGCCCAGACGTTAACTCAGGAACTTGCTATGCCTAAGTTTGTACATCCCAAGCATCCTGCGACAGTGACACACACACCTATTCAGTGCAGGGTCCAGGGCTGAGAGATGCGGATCGCAGTGACATATCAGGAGGGTGTTAGGCTGTCAGACTGGGTATCAGCAACAAGCATCTTGCAATGACTAGACTCACTAGAGGCTTGCGGTGGAACGGCCAAGACCCGTAAGAGTAGTCTAGTGTAGAGCAGAGTGAGCCCTAAGGACCAGCTACGCCGGGGCCCGGGCCCGGGGCGGTTATGTAATTGTAGTCAAGTGTCAGGGACAAGATGAAGTTGGGCACTAGCGAGTGAATATCATTTCCACATCGCAGAACGCCCGATCGAGCAGCGAACTAGGACAGGAGTCTGGGACGCCGGCGATGCGGCTAGTACTATTTATGCATACCCGGTTTGATCCGTATGGCATCGACCCCTTGGAGTCCAAAGTCTGGTAAGATCAGGGACCCGGGTCTCGGGAACTGGCCAATAGGCGGCGGGGCCACTGACGATCATCTCGTTAACGACTCATGCTCGCAAGGAACCTCATCTGCCCAGCGCGGCAAGCAGTTCGGATTAACGCACTGCCACTGGGCCATGCGTGTCACTGACTCGACAGCTGTGCCGTGCGGCGTGCTGTCACTGCTGTCCGCCCTGAGGCCGACAGGGATGCGGTACTGGCGGATAGCGCTAAATGTCGGAGCCGGGAACTCGTGTAATCTTTTTCATTGGTTACGAAGGCGGTGACCTGATGATCCGGCGGGCTCTTCATGCGATAGAGTCGGGTGGACAGCTAATTGGCATCAGAACCTCAGATGTGACGACCAGATCGGATTAAACAAATGACAGATCATGACTCGCTAATAAGGCGCTGAAATACCCACTGAATAGAGAATGATATGCAGGACTGCCGTATCCCGTGATGAATTAATAATAGCTGCCGAACATTGTGTTTTTTTTTCCTGCGTGCGTAATCATGAGCAGTGACATGACAGAATTACGGCCTGGATCGTGAGGTGAGCAAGTCCTCCCGGGAACTTGTATGGTCTGGAATTGTCTTGATATCTTTCAAGTCATGGATGCAAAATAGCCCTTGATCCAATTTGCACCAAAAGATAGAACTGGCCGGTCACTTGCTTCACGCCTTTCCTTTGTTTGTAATTGGACACTCGCATCTGGTTCAGGATATGTCGAGGTATCCAAGGTTGGACTTGGGCGTAGTGGTGAGTGGTGCCTGCGAGAACCACTACGTGCAACGCTAATTAGAACCTTATGGCGAAACAAGGCTATCTAAAAATCGGGATCTAACGCAAAGCAACACCGTGCTTTTCGAAGAAATCCTCCATCGTGGTCAACTTCCCCCGGGCCACAGCCGGTGTCCCTGCCATGAGTTCCTCCGTCTTCGGTCCGTAGTAACCGAAATCCTGAATGTACAGCATCATATCGACGACCCGGTCCCCGATCACTGGCGGCATGAAGTTCTTAATCTCAGAAACAGGCATTTGCTTGTATGTGATCGTCTTGCCGCTCGTGACGCTCATGATCTTTGCAATCTCCTCCATGGAGTACAACTTTGTCGCTGCCGCCACAACCTGACCATGGTACCTCTCCGGCTCCGCTAAAATGGCTGCGACAAACTTGCCAGTATCTGTCGCAGCGTCCAGCATTGGCAGCTTGGCCTCCGGTGAAACAACACTCGTGACGACATATGTGTTCTCGCCGACAGGCATAGGCGCCATCATGTCCAGTGTGACGTTCGGGTCTAGACTAGCTACCGGGTAGATAGAATAGAAGTCGGGTTTAAACTGAGTATACTAGGATATCGTTGACTTAAGCGGTCGGGTCACAGTCTATATACGAGATAGTGGATCTTGCGTAGATAATTATATTAATAGCTAAGGAGCTGGGTAGAGACTAACTATAGTGAAGCGTAGCTTCCTATATACTAGTTTATGAAAGTAAGGGCTCACGGGAGCGTCGTGATCTAGTAAGCTATACATTAATATTAGAGCGTAGGCTTACGGTAAGGTCGCGAGCTATACTTTATACGTGGTGGTATAATTAGAGGAAAAAGTAGGGTGCACGTGAGAGGCGCATACGGTCGTATATTAGGTCGTAATATAATATCTCCCCTCCCGAGATTCTATCCCTAGAATCAATCAAAACCAATCGTTAGTCCATACTCGTGAGTCCTATTAATTCCTTCTCCTTTATTATTTTTGTATGTGCTAACGCTATGTCTAGTCGCTCTTCTAACGTTACTCGAAAGACTCGCGAACGCCTAAAGCTTACTTACGCTATTACTCGTAACGGTGCTAACGCAGACATGCCGTGCACCTATTATTTTAAGAATCAGAAGCCTTATCGTTTTAATAATAGGTCTTCGAAATATAGCGAGTATATTCGTCGCGGTCGTCCTTACGACGGGACGTTTGTGGCGTCTTTATATATATATTTATTCTTTTCTTACTCCTTTTCCTAACCTTTTTTAGTAAATCGTTTGCTTAAATAGCATAAGAAGCTTAAGAAGGACGAAGAGAAAGCTAAAGAGGCTCTCCTTCGTCTTTAAACTAAGCTCGCGACCGCTATTGGTCGTTTAACGCGGATACGGAAGATTCGTCGACGTATGAAAGAGCGTATTAACGACTCCGTTCGCCGTGGTTTAGCCGGTCTTAAGGAGGATGAGCGGGATGACTCGGGATCTATGGCTTTGGGTGATGATTTTACGGACGTAGTCCTTTCATCTAGAGCTAGAGCTACTAGTAGTAGTCCTTCACGAGGTGCCGACAATCCTTAAGATATTTAGCGGGTTCCTATGTATTTTCGTTATTTATATAGCCCTTCTATTTGATAAGGTACTTAACTTCTCTATCGATAGTTTATTTATCGAGTATCCGTTCTAGTTCGTAGAGTTCTTCGAGAACTTCTAGTTCGTAGTTTGTTTTTGCGTTTTACGGTGCTTTTTTGAGTAATAAAATATAAAAAACTAGGTGCATCCTTATACTTAAGGGTAGTAAAAGTTTGTAGTTAGTATCTAAGATAACTTCGTTAATTTTAAATAGTCTAAGTTTTTTATAATCGAGCTTCGGTAAAGGTCGAGTTATTGTAAAATTTTTGCGTAATAGGTAGACTATATCTCCCCTCCGAAAGATCGGTCCCTTCGATCTTTTCTAATTATAGTACTTCGATATTTATATACGTACGAATTCGAGCTATTTCTTTATATATTCATATAGTGAGCGTAATTAATCTACTTTAAGCATAGCTTTTTTAGCAAGAGGTCTATCCCTTAGTATTTTATTGCCGAACTCGGGTTCGTATCCATAGTTCGCGTAGAATAGTGAGATTTTAGTTAATTCCGTAGGTGCGCTATTATAGGCGAGTTAGGCGAGTAGTAACTTCGAGACCCAATCGTCTTGCTTATAGTTAATATAGCACCGTAAGTACTACTCTAATATCTAATTTAATCTTTCTATCTATCTATCCGTTTGTAGGTAGTAAGCTATGCTAAGCTTATATTTAGTCCTAAGCTAAGCTATTAATACTTACTAGAACTTTAAGGTAAATATCGTTCCTCGATCCGAAATAATTTCTTCCGGAAGGCCGTGGTTAGCTACGATATGTTTAAGTATTATATATACGAGTGTTTCTATATCCGTTGCTTCTTAGTATAGTAGGAAATATCCGAATTTGCTTATCCGGTCCGTGATAACGAATATACTATCGTATTCGACGTTAGATCCTAGTTCCTTAGATTTAGGTAGCTTTATAATATAATCGAAGGCTATCGATTCCTATAGCTTTAAAGGCACTAGTAGTGGCTTTAATTCTCCGTATGGCTTATACCGTGCAGCCTTGCTACGCGCACAATCTTCATATTATCCGACGATACGTGCGACGTCTGCCTTAATTCCTTAGTAGTCGTACGTTCGTCGTATTTATTTAAGAGTCTTTCTAACTCCTTAATATCCTACCATGGGATACGTATAAATATTAATCAAGATTTTATCGCGTAGCGGCGGTAGTATTTAGAGCAGTCTATTCCTAGTAGGTCCTTTTCTTATTTCTATCGCGCAGTCGTTAGGTATTTCTTTTTTATATTTTAATACTTATTCTAATATTTTATCGTAGTATATAGTATCTACTTCCACTCTAAATATAAGAAGGTTAAGTATTATTTATACGTAGTTTCCTTTGTTATTTTATTAGAGTATCTAGCCCTTGGCTTTTAGTACTTCGGTATCGTAGTCTAGTCGGCGGCTAAGTATATCTACTCTACTATTTTCCGAACCTTTCCGATAGATAATTTTAATATCGTAATCGGCTAAGAATTTAGCGTATCTTATTTATCGTGCGCTAAGTTCTTATATTATCGCGAAGTAGGAGATATTTTAGTAATCGGTATAAACTTTAGTAGTGAACTTCGTCCTTAGTATATAGTGCTTAAATTCCTTAATAGCTACGATAATTACTAGGAATTCCTTATCGTAAATAGGGTAGTTTAGTTCCGCGCCGTGGAGTTTCTTCGAGAAGAATATAATTAGTCGTACGTTACTATTATCGTCTCGTTAACTAATTTATACTCCTATGGCGTAGTCCGATACGTTTGTTTCTAATTCGAGTAGTCTTTCGGGGTCGTAGGTTATAAGTACTATATTTAATAATATAGTGTCTCGCAATCCTTCGAATACCCTTTATTACTCCGTTTCCTACTTAAATTCTCCCTTTCCCTTAGTAAGTCCCGTGAGTAGTACTACGATTTTCGTAAAGTCGCGTATAAAGCGTCGATAATAGTTCGTAAATCCCACGAACGCTTATACTTCCTTAAGCGTTATTAGCACGGGCTATTCTTTAACTATATTAATCTTTGTTTATTCTATTAGGATTTCGTTTAGTCGGATCGTATATCCGAGGAAGACAGTTTCTTATATATAAAACGCGCTCTTTTCTAGATTAACTAAGAGGTTCGTATCTTAAAGTGTTTTTAGTACCTAGTGGACGTGTTTCTTATATTCTTTAAGGTTTTCCGAGAAGATTAGAATATCGTCTAGGTATACTATAACGAAGATATCTAGGTACTCCCTGAGTACGTTATTAATTATTCGCTAGAAGGTAGCTAGAGCATTAGTAAGGCTAAATAGCATTACTAAATACTCGAATAGACCGAACTTAGTGCGAAAAGCTATCTTCTATTCGTCTCTTTTCTTCATATAGATTAGGTTATAGGCTCCTTTTAGGTTAAGAGCGGTAAACTAGTTCTTACCGTAAAGTCTATCCTTGAGTTCGTTAATAAGCGGTAGGGGTGTCCTATCTTTGATCGTAATATCGTTAAGCTACCGATAGTCCACGACTAGTCGTAGCTTCCTATTCTTTTTTAGCACGAATATAACGGGATATCCTGCTTCTAAGGTAGAGGTTCGAATATAGCCTTTCTTAAGTATTTCGTCGATATATTCTCGTAATATTTTAAGTTACTTCTCGTTAAGGTTATAGAGTTTATAGAACTTAGTCGAGGTTCTAGTTTTAAGATAGATTTCGTGATCCTACTAACTATATTACGGAATACCTATTTCGAGGGTTTCCTTGAACAACCTACTATACTTTCGGTATTCTAGCGGTATATTCTTTATTCGTTCTTCTTCTATTATAGGTTTTTTTTTTCTTTCTTCTTATAGGGCTTAGTTTGCTTTAAATATCTTTTATATAATATTAGCGAGGATTCGTTTTCCTTATTTATATTATATACCCGGTTGTATAGCCTTCTTGGTTAGTACTACGGCTTTTGCCTGCTTCGGCTCGCTTATATCCTTCGATAAAGATCCTTTAGAGGCTAAGTCGTCGCGAATATTCGCTTCTTTCTAGTTAAATAGTGATCGTCGCGTTATCGTGTCTATCCACGCTAACTAGCCAGTACGCTAATCGACTACCGGATTACTTCTCGTTAACTATAGGTGACCTAGTATTATATCATATTTATATAAGTCTATAATATCGAAGACGATTATCTTATAGTATCCTTATATCGTTACATCGAGATAATCGGTCTCGCGGTCGATAGTTCCACTATTATAATCGAAACTTTATCCTTCGATATTAAAAAGCTTATATACCCGAGTCTTATGATTCTATAGTAGCATATATCGGTTAACTACTACTAGTAAGATATAGTTACCTATTGCCCCACTATCTAATAGTACTCTTAGGCAATGTCCGTTAATCTAGACTTCTAAAACCGTTTTCTATCCTCCGTCTATCTCCACGGAGCAGAGGGTCTTTAGGTTTCCTTCGTCGTCTTATGCCCTTTCTATAGGCGACGTTAATAGTTTTTTAACGGGTAGTATTCTATGTCGATATTATTATCCTTAGGGTCGTATACGTAGCTACTATCGTACGACTCTAGGTATATCGAGGGATATCGTTTTCCTTTTTCTTTATATAAGTAATATATATACCCGTAGTAGTAGACTCCGTAGTCTAGTATATATCCTTCGAAATGCCTATATATAATATACTACGTGCATGCTTTTCCCTACGGAATAAGGTATTCTCGTGCCTCGATCCTATATCGTAGGTATAGCGTTTCCTTCGCTCTAGTATATCTTTCGTGGTTTATCTTTCCTTTACTAATATAATCTCGATCCGCTTGTTCGGTAGGGTCGAACGGTAATCTTATGCCGTTAGGGTACTTCTCGTATCCCTTACACCCTTATCCGTAGCTTAAAGCGCATTCCTTGCTCTTAACTATCTTAATACCGAGTAATGCCTTTACGGTATTCTCGTATCGCCGGAGCTCTTTTATCTCCTTTTATTCCCTAGTCCTATACTAATCGAATACCTTTACCTTAGCGTGTCGTGGATAGTCCACTAACTAATATCCGCGCTACGTTTTCTAGTCTCGTGCGCATACTTCGGGGCATTTTACTAACTACCTTAGTATCACATATCCTATACTAGGTTCTACGTGTATATACTCGTAGAACTCCGCTTTATATTTTTTATATAGGTCGTTAATAACGCAGGTGGCTAGTCCCTTAATTAGGTAGACTTAATGCCTTCCTTTGTTAAGTATATATATTCTGTAAAAGTAGTATACACAAGAGATCTATAAGAGTTCGCAATGTTTTGGCGCATCTAGGTATATACGTAGGTCGTCTCCTAAGACTATTCTTCGGTCTATTACCTAGTTAATTCCTCCGTCTAGTATCTAAGCGGGGATAACTATCTAGAGGTCTCCTCCTTGCGGCAGGGGGTCGTATCGATCTATCGCTGCTTTTATCTATTCTCGTGGGGTTACTCGTCCGTGCAGTAGGTTAGTCTCGAGTATCCTTTTCTTCTATAGTAGTTCTTCTTCGTAGTCCAGGGTATCGGTTATATCGCTTCCGGAATTATCGCTATCCTTAGGGGTTATAGTGATTTTCTATATAATAGCAAGGGTCCTTACCTTCGGGGCTTTTAGAAACTATCCCGATTCTTCCTTACCGCTTTTATAGGTATAGTAGTTATTATTATAGTATCCTAACTAGTGTAGGGCTTTATGCGCCACTGGTTAGTTTATGGGTTACTTATTGACCTTCTTTGGTATTTTTTCCGTGTTAGCTACTTAGTTAGGGTATGGCACCTTAGACTAGCTTAGGTACTTCGTATCGTAGCCGGACCTAGTTATATTTAGTTACTTTAGCTTACCTTCAGGCACTAGTCTCTAGCCCTGGCTTCGCCCCTTCTTTAGCGAGCGGCATTCGCGCTTCTAATAACCTAGCTTGCCGTAGTTATAGTAGGTTAAGTTTTTCTTGTTATTGTCTATCGCGGCGAGCTATCGTTGCATGGCGTCTAGGTCTATAGGTCCTGGGTTTATTATATATGCCTATACTATATTCTACTATCGGGGGCGTCCTTAGTTTAGATAGTAGCGACGTCCTCCGTTACTATTATTCCTAAAGTTTAGGTATAATTAATTTATATTCCTCCCTTTTCCTAATATTTTGCGCTTTAGGTATAATCGGTTATCGATCCTAATTACGTTCGTAATATACTCCGTGAGGGACTTAGGTATATCTTTATCGTAGAGTTACTCCTAGACCTCTAACTTCAGACTATTAAAGAAGTAGGTTATAAGAGGTTCGTCGTCCTATCCGAGTCTGCTAGATAGTTATCGAAACTTTAATACGTAGTCCGTAGTAGATCCTATTTGCTTTAGGGTTCGTAGGGTCTTAATATTAACCCGGTTCTTATCTATATTCCCGAAGACGTCCTTAATAGTATTCTCGAAACCTTCGAAGCTTGCGAATATAGCTTAAGTTTCGTTATCTTAGAGGTTGGCCGTAGTCTCTATAAAATCCCTTATACGTGGTTCGAACCACGCTAAGGCCGTGCCGGTGAGATATATTCCTGCGTGAAGGATCTTATCTATATCATCGGCGAGCTTAGTAGGGAATAGTCGATAGTATATCTTAAGCTAAGTCAAGAACCCGTTTAGTTATCCTAGGTTACTATCGAACGGCCTAGGTGACTTAGGCTTAATCGTCTCGCCTAGGTCCCTAGCGTTATTATTCTCTATATCGGCTATAGTATCGTATTGCTTAAGTACTTAATACGGTAGTGCACTAAATAAGAGCTATCAATATATGACATTCGGGTCTAGACTAGCTACCGGGTAGTTAGAATAGAAGTCGGGTTTAAACTAAGTATACTAGGATATCGTTAACTTAAGCGGTCGGGTCATAGTCTATGTGCGAGATAGTGGATCTTGCGTAGATAATTATATTAATAGCTAAGGAGCTAGGTAGAGACTAACTATAGTAAAGCGTAGCTTCCTATATACTAGTTTATAAAAGTAAGGGCTCACGGGAGCGTCGTGATCTAGTGAGCCATGCGTTGATGTTAGAGCGTAGGCTAACGGTGAGGTCGCGAGCCATACTTCATGCGTGGTGGTATGATTAGAGGAAAAAGTGGGGTGCACGTGAGAGGCGCATGCGGTCGCATGCTGGGTCGTAACATCCAGGAAGATCTGCATGAACGAACCCGGCGCAACAAATGCACTCTTGATGGGCTGCGCACGAATGCAATCCTCCACTTCGGATTTAACGTCGAAATGGTCGCCGTGCTTGTACTTGCCGTGGGAATTCTTTGCGATGTGCGGCAGGGTACTGTAGATGTAGAACTGGACATTGGCCGCGATGGCAGCATCGACCAGCGCCTTGCCGCGGCTGTAATCGCGAGTCTTCATTTGGTCGTCATGGACGGTCTCGGTCAATGCGAATACAGTATGAGCATCTTTGAACAGGGCCTCGAGACTTGTTACGTCATCTAGATCGCCCTGGATGACTTCGATGCCCTTCTCGGCCAAACGTTTGGCAGCTGGCTTTGATGAATCTCGAGTGAGGGTGCGGATGCGGTATTGGCTGGAAAGTTCGCGGCCTTTGAGGATTGTGTCGATGACCGATCCGCCCTGTTGGCCGGTTGAGTTTGCTCATGATATAGCGCAGACTTGAATGACAGCTTGGAATCTGTATCGAGAGGTTCTGGAAAGCCAAAGAGATTAATGTAGATGTTACAGTTTGAGGCAGGAGGAAACAGAATGGTTTGAGTATGGGAAGATTGGTATTTCAATAATATATATAATTGTCCTAGATCTATTGTCTCGTGCAGAGGGTGACTCGGTCACTCGCGAGTCGCGACTCGGATATGCGGAATTAACGGAGTTTGTCTTTGAGGTCATAGAAATAAATCCCATCCGCTTGTTCTATTGATTGCTCTAGTAAGCAAAATTTCAGGCGAACTTCTTCTTCTTATTCTAACAGGCCGGATAGACCGATTTCTTTATAATTCAATCACGGGGAAGGGGAAGGTAACGGGTTCTCGCCAAACTGAAACCTATCCATACTACCCCCTGTTATCCAAGGAGAGTATTGGCATGATCGGTTTCTATGTGAAAGCGCTCCGAAATATAGAAGACAGCAGAATGTTGACACTGTGTATGACCTGCCTCAACTATGCGCAATCAGTAACCGTGAAGACGGCAATATCGTCCTGCTCGACGCTAAAGCTAAGCGAGTCACCACGGCCCTCTTGTCCAGAGTATGCCTCCTTCCAGCAGTGCTCGCCGCCTTCGAGACCGGGTACCTCAGAAAAGTTCACAGAAAAGTCACCAGCCCCATTGGCTCCGGAAAATGCCACCACCGCGCCGTTGCTGAGGGGACCGGCCCAGTAAGGATAGATCTCTCCTGAAGCAGGCTCGGGGCTGTTGGATGGTCTGAATGGCGTTGCAGCGGCACCGAGGGGGTCTTGGTTGATAGCGACAAGGTCCTGTAAGAAGTGTCAGAAGAAAGGCTTGGGTTCTGTTGACTGTATATGATCAGGGGTCACAAACCTTGTTGCGGAGAATATCCAAGGAGGATGTCGGAATCGTAGTAAGGTCCGCTCCAATGATCAGGGGGGACTTGGCGATGGCCCAGAGACCAAAGTGAAGGCGCTCTTGGTTGTGTGTAAGCTTATTGTTGCCGATAAACTAAAGGGAGGGTTAGTATATGACAGAATGAGAGGCACACTCATGATGACAGCCATTGACTCACCAACATGTCCAGATCATTGAATCCTCCAGGGCCGGAATACTGGGCGATCTCGCCCGCCTTGGAGCCAATCCTCACCACGGATGCCCAGTCGCCCCAGTTATCATTCTCAATGCGCCACGAGTGTCCGTACTTGTCGCCCCAGGTCCAGACTTCGTTTCTTCCCCACTGGCAGAGGTTGAACAAGATCTCTTTTTGTGCCTTGACGCTCTGGATTGCGTCGGCCATCTTGGCATACCACGGTTCTGTGTTGACTGGGTAGCCCCAACATGTTTGGGGCGGAGGCGTGACGGGGCACTCAGTGAAGCAGTTGTCGTGCTTCCAGAAGTCTACGTCCCAGTCGGCCAGCAGTTGGGCATCCTGGTACTCGTGATCCTCAGAGCCGGGGTAGCTGGCGCAGGTGAGAGTGCCTGCACACCCGTACAGGCCAAACTTCAGACCCATGGCGTGAATGTCGTCCACCACAGGGCGGATGCCTCTTGGCCATTTGTTGGGATCTGGAACGAGGTTGCCGTTTCCGTCTCTCTGCTTTGTTGTCCAACAGTCGTCGATGTTGACGTACTCGTATCCGAGGTCTTTGAGTCCTAACTCTGACAGCTTGTTGGCGGTGGTCATGGCGTATTCTTCAGACGCAGCATCGCATTGGGCGACATTCTAGTCATTTGCGTTAGCGGATGAGATATGAGGAGAGATATGCCGTGGAGGGACATGGATTCCAGGGGAAAAGTCGTACCCAGCTACTCCAGCCCATTGATGGAGTCAGTCCGACATTGGTGTCATCTAGTCGATTCCGCAATACGGCCGCGTGGGCCAGAGTGGCCGAGGGCACCAGAGCGAGCAAAGAGATTCGATGCATGTTGGGCATTATATGTAGGCTCTTTTGAAACTGATCGACTCAGGCCTTCTCCAGCCCTCAATGAAGGGATATTGGTCGATACTTATACGCTGCTGAGCCTTGACTCCACCCAGCATTCATCCGGAGAACCGACAGGTGCCGATCAAGCGGCATTAGGGCCAAGAGCAGAACGACTCATGCCTCTTTGAAGTTCACCTACCATGTCGGTGTTCATCTCCGAGTTCTTCATTGTGTTTTGGCCATAGATACGTACTATTGGACCGGTTACAACCTGGACTGCAAACAGTCCAGTACAGGGCGGGGGGGTGCGAGTGCCGATTCGGCCGGCAGCTGGCTCTGCGTGATGATTCGCGGTGGGAGCATTCATCAGCCGAGAACATTTGCGGGGTGAAAGATGCCTTTGCAGATCATGATGTAAAGCACCCGTCCTAGTTTGTGGGGGACTGCGGTTCAGGCTTAGCCAGGGGCGTCGAATATTTACCCGGATCTGCGGCGCATCTGCTTCAATCGGCAAATGTGCTACATGAAGAAGCGCTCGAATAAACAGCGTCCTGTAGGGGCCAGAAAAGGTATACATGGAACCAATACTCCGTTAGGAATGCGATGTCATGTCCAGCGGAACGAAAAGCAAGTGAGTAAATGTCCTCTGAGGGTCAATGGCAGATGCAACACCACAGGGAAATATAGTTCCACAGAGGGCACATTTGTCCATCTCCGTAATCTAGAATCGTATGGAGTATGAAGGTATAGGTATTATTGATGCGGGAAAAGTTCCGCAGATGCAAGTGACTCGCTCATATGTATTCTATGAAAACCAAGATTAACAGTGTCTAATTCGAGACGTAGTGAGCAACGTAGCCAACCTCCATCATGCTGCCGGTGCCACCCCAAGTATTAGCATTAGGAGGGCCAGCCTGCGAACAGAATCATTAGCATGTGTGTCGTTCAAAGTGTGTTTGCACATGGGGCATAAGGACTTACCCAATCGCCACCCATGGCGACATTGAGAATGATATAAAGCGGCTTTTGGGCCAGTGTTGCCCACACAGCACTGTTGTTGACCTGCGCACCTGTGATGCGATGGAACTGTTTGCCATCCATATACCAAGTAATGGTCTGGCTCTTGAAATTGCTGTTCGTGCGATCTATCTCGACGCGCCAGACGTGGAACTGGTTGTCTGGGAGGGTGGTGGTGGAGGCAAGCCCAATCGGCTCATTGCACGCGCCTCCTGGGCCCTTGTCACAATGGACAACGCCGTAGCCAATGTTCTGGCCGTTGATGTTCTCCATGATGTCGATTTCTCCACACTCAGGCCACTTGACACCTTGGCGGTACGATGCACCGAGCATCCAAAATGCGGGCCACAGACCCTGCTTGTTCTTCTGGGGATTGCCGGCAATGCGTAGTGATGACTCGACTCTGGTGATCTTGCCGGCTGTGGGTGTCAAGGTATATTTGCTCTCGATACGGCCTGATGTCCACCCCCTTGGCGCATTGGCGTCGCGTCGCGGGATTAGCTGAAGGGCCCCGTCTCCATTGAATCGGATGTTTGCTTTCTTGTTGGTGTAGCGCTGCAATTCATTGTTGTAGACCTGGGCACTGTTGATCACGTTCCAATTGTTCGAGTTTGGAAGTGCATCGGCTGGCCCGATGAAGGTCGCCTGCCAACGGCGAGTGTAGCCAGCATACTGGGGAGATTGCCATGCTACCACGACGGTGACGAAAGGCAGAAGAGCTGCCAGGAAATTTTGAAGGTGCATGATTAGTATTAAGCCGCGGTTTCGCGATGTACAGTATGAAAACAATGATAGACAAAGGGAGAGACAGCTTGATGTAGCACAGGTCGAAGCCAGGAACATTCGATGGATTACCGCATCTTCTAATAGAGAACGACCATGGACCCCCGTGAGTTGCCATTGGTAGTGATTACGAGGCCAGACGAGATGCTCATTTCCACATCCTGCATGCGCATTGAGGCGTCGAGAGTCTCGACCTCTGGGAGGGTCTGTGCGCGGAGTATTGGACAGGGGATCTTCTACATAAATAGCATCAATACGCGCTTAGGGCAGATCAAGCGAGCCGCTCAAGCGGGTAGGCCGAAAGGGGACCATTAGTCATATATCTAGTACGTACTAACGTAGCTTCACGGCACGGGTCGTGATGGTTTGGCGACCCTTTTGGTTTCAGCTTGGCGATAGCTCCGATGTCTGTCCAATCGGGCCCTGTCCGCGGCGCAATGGTCAACCAATACGGTGGCTTTTTGCAACTCATCACTTTTTTTGCGGTGGTTCAGCTCTGGTGGATGGTGATTGCCATTACCATGGTAGCATGCCTCTCGCCGTAAACTTGGTCGAGAACGGAGGCTATGCGTTAATTGCACGATGTGACGACTGGAGGGATGGCGGCTGGACTCCTTAGCTGCAAAAATGTTGGAAAGGGGTCTGAGAATCAATATTTCTTCACAAAGCATGCAATAGCACCAAGATGAATCAATAACAATGACAATAATGAAAACGAACTCGCACGTGCACAGGCTGCAGCAGTGGCCAAGTTAGCAACCTAGACTTCAATGACCTACCCTACGGCTGCAATTGACATGATTCAAACTATTAATCAAGACTTGATACACAGACATGGGGCAGATGGTAGAAATTAAGCAACATTCATAGCTACGTAGTGTGTGTTCTCCTGATATCAAAAATTACCCAATTTGTTCTGAATTGCGCTGCCTGACGTTGTGACAATGGGTGGTCGAAGAACATTCATTCAGTACCGTCACCAGCGGACTTCTGCCTTCCATCGCCCTGCGACTGATCCAAAGCCTGAATAACAGCACGATGCTGCTCGTCTTCCGATGGTGGCTTGTACCGATCTCCCTCTTGACCTCCTCCAACAAAGGGTCCGTGGATCATGCCAACGGGGAGCCCAACCAGAGCCCCCAGGCCAGCAAACGGTATAGAAGCAATGGTGCCAACGAGAGTACCGACGACGGCACCAGTCCCCGTCCCTAGTCCGGTTCCTACCCCGACGCCTCCGATTGTGCCCTGCCACGCGCCGCTTGCGATCCGCGTAGCCTCCTGGGAGTGGCCATGTGCATCCTCCTCGCGTTGGCGTGCCTTGTCCAGCAGTGCATCCCGCCCCGCGTCATCCTTGGCCTCGGCTGCGGCGAGCAATAGGTGGGCACCCGGGTGCCCAAATAAGATTGGGCACCCGGGTGCCCAAATAAGATTCCTTATGTCAGCGAGAACCCACAAAAGCT